AGCACCTATACCAAAAAAATATAACAGGAACATGTTATATCAAGAACACAAAGAATTATAATTTAAAAAATGCATTCTAAATAAATACCTGGCTACAATATACCTACATATTAATTTAAAGAGCTTATTCACAAAAACTATTCTAAATGGTTTATATACACAATCAAAAGTCCTTCAACTACTGTACGTTATTTTTCAATTTAAATGAAGAATTTCGGGTAAGTAAATTATTTTATATTAGAATACTATATTGCTTTGGCGTAAATTCACTTTCAATAGCACTGTTCAAATGGTGGTTAATACATATCAACAGGTAATTTTAGCCACCAGCTAGTAGGTAAATTATTTTTATTTTATAACAAGGCCTCCTAGGTTATGTTACGCAGATGTTGATTTTAGGCTATATTCTCTATTAATTGGAATTTAAAATTAATCTGTACACTGACAGTACATAATTTGAATGTTTTTCTTAACATCTATCCATATTTTTTTTAAATAAATAGTTATACCACTTACATTAGGACCTTTGAAAAGGCTTGGGTTTCTTTTACCCCGTTCTTTATTTGCCTTTTTTCCACTGTAAGTCCCACTTACAGCCAGGTACGAAGCAAGATCTATTATATAGGGTTTTTTTAATCACACTCATTGTTACATTGCTAATAGTTCAATAAAATAACTATAAATTTAAAAAAACAAACTAGTAAAAACACAGTTAAATCGTATTCTAACAATGCAAATGATCAATCTAACCCGCTTATAGTGCCTCTGGTATCAAACCGAGAAACTTGCTTTAAAGTAGGGACAGAAATTTCAAATATGCCCATTGTCGATTCGCCTCCTCCTTCTAGCCTCCATAACCGTGAATCATTCTTAAAAATATTTTCAATATGGCGGCACTTCCGGAAATATCGGAAGTTGACAGCAACTTTTTTATTTTAAACGGGTGTCCCCATTTTTTATTACATATTTAAATTCTCTGTAAAATTTTATGAATTTTGATATTAAACACTCTATACCTAACATTAACCGTTTTTGAGAAAAAAAAATATTAAAAATTTTTGGACGAAAAAAACTGCCTGTCAAAAATATGTGTCTAGCCTAAACGTCAAATTTAGTGATTACCACAGCCACTGTGCCATAAAGAGAAAACATGTAGCTATCTATTTCAAAATTTAAATTGTTCGAATGTCATAATAATGGCCGCAGCTGTCATAGAATTGAGCGATTAAAAAATTATCATAAATCATTTTTTTCAAATGGAAACCCCTTTTTTTTATTTCACTAGTGAAAAGGCTTTTCAATTCGTTACTTTTTTACTATACATGTTCCTATACCTAAAATAAATCGTTTTTGATTTATTTAAGATTTAGTATTAAAACGTATAATTTTCTTGATTTTAACCAGTAGCCTATGACTTTAAACGTCAGGTGATGTAAAACACTAGACCTGGCCATGCCATATTGTGACGCTTTGTTCAAAAAGCAGCATCATTTTCGAGCCAACTTTGCGCTTTTTTTTCGATCATAGGGAATATTAATAATCTATTAGATATGACTAAAGAGCGAAAATACGAAATATATTTTTACACTTTTTAAACTCTTCAGGCAGGCAGTACTTGTACTTTAGGAAATTAAAATAATTTGTTTTCTGACAGATGGAAATAAATTATCTGACCGTTTGACACTTAATGTCAAAGGAAGCTAGATAAAATCAAGAAAAATATACGTTTTCTAACTCAACCTTAAATAACTTAAAAACGATTTATTTTAGGTATAGGAACATGTATAGTTAAAAAGTAACAAATTGAAAACCCGTTTCATTAGTGGAACAAAAAAACTGGGTTTCCATTTGAAAAAAATGATTTATGATAATTTTTTAATCACTCAATTCCATGACAGCTACCGCCATTATTATATGACATTTGAACAAGTTAATTTTTGAAATAGATAGCCACATGTCTTCTCTTTATGTCACAGTGGCTGTGGAAATCACTAAATTTGACTTTTAGGCTATACAAATTTTCTTGACAGGTAGTTTCTTTCGTCCAAAAATTTTAAATAATTTTTTTCTCAAAAACGGTTATGTTAGATATAGAGTGTTTAACATCAATATTCATAGAATTTTACAGAGAATTTAAGTATATAATAAAAAATGGGGGTACCCATTTAAAATAAGAAAGTTGCTGTCAACTTCCGGTATTTCCGGAAGTGCCGCCATATTGAAAATATCTTTAATAGATAAATCTTGTTGAAAAACAATGATGTGCAAAAAATCTCCGATCTAGATATTGTGGTTCTCTAGAAACTTCTAACGCACGCTCAGCCTGGGACACCGTGTATTACACGAGAAAAAAATAGGAGGATAACCTACAAAAAGAAATGATATCCAAACATAGAATGTAAAAAATGCCAAGTCTCGCAACACAATTCTTCCACTATAAAAAGTTGTGAGATCTCATGTAAAACCAAGTCAGTTTATTTTATTTAGTCTCTCTTTATGCAACTATTCAACAATTTTGTTATAAATTGTTAGTATAAATATTATCTTTATTGCTCTAATAATTATAATGACTTGGCGATTGCGCCATATGATATTTTTATATTATATTCTATTTAAAAATCTTTATTTTTAAGGGCACTGTTTTGATTTACTTAGTAATCGAGATGGTAGATTATTTTTTTTATAATTATGGTGCTGTGCAATGGCCAAGTCATTATAATTATTACAGAAATAATATTGACTAGTTATTACATACTAACAATTTATAACAAAATAGTTGAATAAATAAGTGCTTAAAGAGAGACTAAATAAAATAAACTGACTTGGTTTTACATGAGATCTCACAACTTTTTATAATGTAAGAATTGTGTTGCGGAAGATGGATTTGAAATGGTAGAACAGTATAATGTCCAGTAGTGATGGGAATACCGCTCCCACATTAGTCGCGTTACAATAGCGACCGTAGCGACAAAATACCGCGATTTTGTAATCAAGGTTCCAATTTCCTAAGTGTCGCGGTCCTCGCTTATGTAGTATTTCTGGCATTGGTACCTACTTTTATTTTATACTACCTACCTAGTCCCACAAACCACTGTCAAAAAAAATTTTTATTGGTGACCGGTTTCGGCAATTCCAGCCACCATCAGATCTTAAAAATAGATATAAACAATAAAACTTATATAAATGTATAAAAGCAAATAAAATTTTTATTTTATTTTATTTGCTTTTACGTTTCATCTACGTTTGTTTTTACGTACATCATTTTACGTTTAACAACGCTATTTTATACCATGCTTAGTACATACCAAAAATCGCTATTTCAAAAGTAACGTAGCGACGGCGACGGGTGCACCAACGCCAACAGTAACCGACCCAATCGCTACAGGCGAAAACGAAACCCTAGAAGCGCTCCAGCGACTGCTGGAACGAAGTAAGCCGCCTCCGAGGTCGAGTGTCGATAGCCAGTTACAGCAGTTACGCGACAGGGAACTACAACTCTAGGAGCGCGACGGCTGGAGCGAACACGTCGCCGTTGCCATCGAGATCGCCCGACGCTACGTACAGTTCCAGTAACTATTGTAGGCGACCGACGAAATCGCGACGGCTGGAGCTAAACACGTCCCTATGCGGTTACTACGGTTCAAGCTAACTTCAAGAACGATTATAAATAATTTATTTGCAAATTATAAATAATTTATAATTTTGTCGTCATTATGATCGTCGTTCTTCAGTAACAGGTTTCCCATTCGTTATGGAGCGCGACACGGCGCGGCGTTACTAAAAAATACCGCTCCAAAATCGCGTTACTCAAATACCGACACATCACTAATGTCCAGCGAGGTTCCTGGACCTGTGGGGGGGGGGCATTACTGACGTAATTTGAAAAAGTAAAATCAATATATATCAACATTTACAATAAAGAGTACAAAATGAATTTGGAAGTGTAAGAAGATCCGTTCAAAGAGCTATCAATAAAATTGAACGAAAATAAATTTGTGCAATAGGGAGGGTGGTAACCCTTTCGAACATGTATAGCATTAGAAACTAGTTTGTAAAAGTTGATTTTTTTATAATTACTACGATTAATATTATGCATATTATTAGATTATATTAGACATTGATTTTTCAAATTCACAATAAAAAGAGTTAAAAAGAATATCTTTCAATTGCTGACCTGGACATTATTTATTTGAATCTTTTAAATGGCTCGATTTTTCTTATTCAATGTCAATTAGCTCTGATCAATATTGTTGCGATGAATATAATCAGATTAAATACTTTAAAAAAGAAGAGTCGGACTTGAAATTATTTTAAATAATAATTAAATAGTTTAGTTATTGTTAAGATACCCAAAACAAAAAAAAATATCCAAGTGTGCATATCATTGTACTCAGGAGATCGAGTTCTTTCAAAACCTGAAATAAAAAATGCAGGTCCGTATTTAAAAAAAATAAGTTCGCCTCTATATCTCACAAATTATCAGCTAATTTGAAATTCAAAAAATACTATCACATAGCCCTAATAAAGTGGCTACGAGAATGTGCAATTAGTTTTTTGATTTGCTAAAATGTAACGACAAAAAAAATTAAACTGATTTTCAAAAAAATCCGTTTTTTCCAAAAAAATTCAGCAATCCTTGAAATTTTTAAAGCTTTTTTGGTATCTATTATGGTATGGTTTCCGAGATATCCAATGCTCATATCTCGAATTTGTAGCACCCTGTAGATTTTTATTAACAAAAGTGTTATTTAAGCAGTTAATATTAGAGTTACACCGTTACTGCATTGTTCAATGTCTCAGAATAATTATAAGAAAACTAATTATAAAATGAAACTATTTATTAAAATGTAGGAATAATTCACGAAATAATAATATATGCAATACATGAATCAAATAATATAACATTTTTAAAAATGACGTACAAAAACATGAGTTAAATACATATAAAATTTTAACAAACAATCATCCCTTGTCTTATTCTTACTCCAAAATCACCAAAATACTATATATAAATTCTGTTTATTCACATAATATAAGTATATAAACAATTACCAGATTGAATCAATATAAACAACCACCAAAAATTGGTCATAACGTATAGTAATCTGTGGCTTTAAATCAGACAATTATTAGATAAACAAATTTATAAGCTGTTTATTATTTTTATGATTCGCCTTCTTCTTCAGTCGTGGCAGTCAACAAAGTAATCAGAGCTGCCGTATCTATGTTTCCATCATCGTCGATATCCATCGCGTCAAAAGCATCATTTACTTCTTTTTCGGTAAATTTATCGCCATAAGTCATCAGGGCAACCCGAAACCTAATAAGACACCCATTATAAAAATTACATTTTTTTTAAAACGTCACAAAAGTATTCGTTTTTGCGACGTGATTGACAATATAAAAAAGTCATTTTAAAGTCTAGGCATAAAAATAAAGCACGTTTACGCCTAAACGCAAAAGGACGAAAATACATTATTAAACTGACATAAAGTCTCAAATTCACCGAGCGTGTCCATAGTTTCTCGATATATAATTACTTATAAGGTCTTACTTTTAAATATTTTTATAGTTCGAAATTATTTATTAACGAAAAAATTATTTATGGCGTTTGAAAAAAGAAATAGTAGGTATGTTCTATTCGGAGTAAAAATGACTTTTAATGCCCGCCTGTATGTCATATTCGCTGACGCTCGTCCGTAAAACCTACAGACTCACCACGAGAAGTATCATTTTTACTCATGTAACTGTAACTCAGAAGACTGTCATGTCTCACGGGTAGAGGGTGTGGGGGGTCTTGGCTTAACCGCCTAGACCTAGAAGAGACAACCTCACCAAAAACCTAAATACTCGATGGCGGGACCAGGTCAAAGGGATGCGTGGAAAGGAATAGAAGACCTTGAGGCACCAGGGGGCACCCCATTGTATTTACCTCTGACTTCTACATGCGGGGCTCTGTAGAAGTGAACCGACTAACCCTAGCTAATCGTGGGATCAATATGAAATCAAAAAAAAAACACCATCGGTAGAGCTGTGGGAAATTCCCTAGCGACACTGGGAACATTGTTAATGCAAGTTCCAAAGGAGCAATCCCAAAAAGAACTACAGAAGAGCCAGTTGATACTTGCGCGAGACTAGCCTCCACAAGTGACTCACAAGCTATAAACTCCTCTAGTAAGGGCCAGGGCCTACCTCTTAGATTCAGCAAGCGACATAAACTACCGTTTCGTCTACCCGGCCTTAGTCAACCAGGCTAGACGATCTGCTGAGAGTAGGTCTTAGCGGAGCAGAAGTACGGGATATACATACGACTGCTCCACGACCAACTTTGCTGTTATTGCTGGACAAGTAAAAATGGCGGTGCTGCCAAAGGATTAGCCAGAGGTTGCACTGACCATCTCCACACTTGTAACGCAACGGTCCACAAAATGTGGGTGCGTTTTGCGGAAACACTTTCGCGTGAACCTGCTCGTCATAGATTGTGTATCTCAAGAATCGGCGGATTGGTTGGTGGAAACGGTACCTATGTTTAAGAATTGGCAAGGCCGGGGCTGGTTGCAGTGAAGGTAGAAAACATCCCAAAAGGAACGACCAATACTGTCTTTCTACCAAGGAGCAACGGGAAAGACACCACCTGCCTGTTGAGCCTTATCCAGGCTCAGAACCCCAATGTAAGGACATCGAGATGGCGAGTAATCAACTCGAGGACGGAGGGTTATAGTCAGGTCTTCACAATAGCATTGACCTCAAATCCGAGGAGGAAATAGAAGAAGAGGGATATATCCCCTATTATAGATTCAGGCAAACACCGGTATCAGATTTAAGAAGAGACCAAGTTAAAGAGTTGAAGAAAATGGAGACAGATCCTCCAGCTTCCACCTCACGGGTTCACTTCACTTCCACCAACCGGAGATAAGCCCTCGTCTGTGAACCGTGGGAAGATGTATACAATCGGAAGAAGAATATCTGTTGTGAGAGGAGGATGGGAAATATCCGGCCCCCCTACAACAGAAAAATCCTCAAATATGATGGGTTAGGTATCGACTGTATGATGAGTTATAACTCAAGGAAGGGGGACACAATAGATCTTTAAGAGCTTATTGGACTTAATAAAAATACCAAACTGTGTCTTGCTCTTACAATTTTAGTGATACGTGCCATGTCTCGTGGGGAGAATCCTCACTTAAAAATAAGATTTATTTTTCATATCCATGGTACGGTTACGTGCGGCGGATGGAGGATTCACGGCTTCCTAAGAGAGTGATGGAATGGGTACCCCCGTACCGTAGGAGGAGAGGAAGACCAAAGAAAGCCTGGATGGAAGGTATAAATAAGGCCATGAGTGCCAGAGACCTGAGAGATGGACAACCGAGAGGTGTGGAAGAAGAGCATCGAACAACGGCGAAAGACAATTTTATTAATTTGCCTTGTCAATAGCAACCTAGTCTAATAGCAACAAAATTTATAATCATTAACTTGCGAAAGTTTTAAATAAGTACTCATTAATTTCTCATCAAAAAATATGAAAAAAAGTTCCTATAAACATGGGTATGGATGTTAAAACTTTTTAAAATTAGTTTTTTTGTAATTATAAAATAAAAATGCCATTATTTTTTTATTTGAAATTGCTGTAGGTTGGAGTAATAGTAATAATAACTAATAGTAATCATATTTAATAACAAATTAGGTAAAATATATAATTTATTAATTTTATTTTTATAATTGTCATTAAGTAATAAAATTGCGTTTATTTCATCAAGGAGGTCGAATTCGACAAAATATCTTGTTATAAAAATTATATAACTTTTAATTGGCATCAAACGGCCTACACAATTTTGATATTAAAAAAAAAGTCAGTGGCGCATATGTCCTTTTTTGAAAAATATATTGAAAAATATATTGAAAAATATATTGAAATAGTGTAAGCAGTTTAATGCCGATTAAAAGTTGCCTCTTGATATTTTGTCGATTTTGGCCTTCTTGATGAGATAAACGCAATTTTATTAATTTGCCTTGATCTAAGTCTAATAAGAACTTTTAATATCATTAACTTGCGAAGGTATCAAATAAGTATTTATTGATTCCTCATCAAAAAATATGAAAAAAAACTTCCATATACATGGGTATGGAAATGCATAGTTTTCGAATTACAAGATGTTAAAACTTTTTAAAATTAGTTTTTTTGAAATTACCTTAAATACCATTATTTTTTATTTGAAATTGCTGTAGGTTAGACTATATACTAATAATATATAATACTAATAATATTTAATAATAAATTAGGTAAAATATAAATTTTATTAGTTTTATTAACTGTGATAAATAAAATTGCGTTTATCTCATCAAAGAGGCCGAATTCGACAAAATATCAAGAGATAACTTTTAATTGGCATCAAACGGCCTACACAATTTTGATATTAAAGAAAAAAGTCAGTGGCGCATATGTCCTTTTTTGAAAAATATATTGAAAAATATATTGAAATAGTGTCAGCAGTTTAATGCCGATTAAAAGTTGTCTCTTGATATTTTGTCGATTTTAGCCTTCTTGATGAGATAAACGCAATTTTATTAATTTGCCTTGATCCAAGTCTAATAAGAACTTTTAATATCATTAACTTGCGAAAGTATCAAATAAGTATTTATTGATTCCTCATCAAAAAATATGAAAAAAAACTTCCATATACATGGGTATGGAAATGCATAGTTTTCGAATTACAAGATGTTAAAACTTTTTAAAATTAGGTTTTTTGAAATTACCTTAAATACCATTATTTTTAATTTGAAATTGCTGTAGGTTGGACTATATACTAATAATATATAATACTAATAATATTTAATAATAAATTAAGTAAAATATAAATTTTATTAGTTTTATTAACTGTGATAAATAAAATTGCGTTTATCTCATCAAAGAGGCCGAATTCGACAAAATATCAAGAGATAACTTTTAATTGGCATCAAACGGCCTACACAATTTTGATATTAAAGAAAAAAGTCAGTGGCGCATAGTGTTGCACAAGACAAGGATTCTTGTGTTGAAAATCTCTCTCTCTCTCTCTCTCTCAATTTCTTGTCTTGTCTTGACATTCAAGACAAGAAATTTCCAAAGTCTTATCTTGCAGTTTTCTTGAATGGTAAAGTCTTGTCTTGTCTTGCAAGACTCTTGAAATTTCCTGTCCTGAAAAATTTTACATTCTAACAAAAAAGTAATAATATTTCTATATTTTATTTCATAGAAAGCGTCGTATATAAAATGTAATACGGAAAAATGAACAACAACGATGCTAATTTTAGCAAAAAAATCTTAACGGACCGCAAACAAACTACGTCAACTCGCCCGTTTGACGAAACAGAAGCCATTACCAAATAAAAGCTGAATAAGAATATGTAAGGTTCAGTTCATTTTTTAGTGCTAGTTGTTAAGTCTTGTTAGTTTATTATGTTCTATTTTGGTTACCCGTTTGTTACTTTTATTTTTTATGGTATTTATTTTACTTTTTTATTATGGAAGATTGGTTGGAAAAGTTTGGACACAGGGTGTACGGAAAGGTCATGCTAGAGTGTACTATTTGATACTACTTTTTGTTCGCGGAGCAATTTCGTGCATGAGAAGTAGTACCAAATAGCGCAAATAGCGTGCTCGTATAATACCAATTACCAATATACGGTTTGTTGCCTCGACTTTATTTTATTTCATTCTCAACTGTAAAACACTGGCTATAATAGAAAAAAAAAACACTGGTCAATATTAATGCCGGGTTTATACAACATTTGCATAAGTCGTAATCATAATCACAGTCTTAATCATCGTCATAATCACAAGTTATTACGCAGAACATTTTCATAATCATAGTTTTTATATCAATGAAGTTGGGTAACATAATTCAAGGCTAAGTTCATGGTAGATGTCAACAGGTTTATAAGAAGTGGATAGTTTAACTTTTATGATTATAACTATGATTGTGATTACGACTATGTAAATGTTGTATAAACCCGGCATAACTTGCGCAAAGACCTAATTATCACTTAAAAAATCTATCATTTCAAACTTTCAAGAAATCTTGAATTCAAGGAAGCTTGCAAAACTCTTGAAATTTCTTGCATTCTAAAGTCTTGTCTTGTCTTGAAATTCAAGACAAGAAATTTTGAAAGTTTTGTCTTGAATTTCTTGCAAGAGTCTTGTTCTTGCAAAACTTTTTCAAGACTCTTGTGCAACACTAATTATCACTGCCATATTATTCTCACTGGACAGACTTTATTGATAAGGATTAACTAACTAATTAATAAGATATAACATACTTTTCGCCGGGGATTACTCCATCTTCGTCGAAAGACTTGAACGCCGCAACGACGACCTCATCTTCATCCGTACCACCCGTTTCAGCCATGCGGTTGCCGAACAATCCGAGCAGTTGCGTAAGATTAATTGGACCCGATGCTCATGAACCATTTCATCCAGCTCCTTTTCGCTGGCAATTTTACCAACCATGTCGAAAGTGGCTCTCAAGTCTTCCTTGCTGATTATCCCGTCCTTGTCGTGGTCCATTATTTGGAAAGCCTCCTTAAATTCGGCTACTTGGGCCTAGAACACGTTAGATAATTTAACATGCCCCATTATAATGATCAAAAATATAGAGATGACATACTGTGTGACGTAGAAATTGCAACACCCCGTGGGAAGTAGTTGGGATAAAGGATAAATATGAATAATAATAATCGATGACATTTTTAAACAAATTTACTGAAAGGAAGCTGACTTAATTGCTTAAAAGGTTGAAAGCTGATTTAACTCTTTTATAAAAAGACTTAAGTCAGATTTTTATATATTTTTATGATTTCATGATTTTTATTCAATCAAATTTAGAAGTTTAATTTGGAATTCACTATTTAATGATACCTTAAGCATTCGAACTTTTTTCCCTTAAAAATCCTTATGGTGTTCATTGAGAAACGAAGTTCTTCTACTAGATAGTAAATCATAATAAACTTTTTGGAGGAGCGTATATTGTGAAGCAGTTGATTCTATTGTCATTTATGATGTTACTTTAAGACGTTAAGAAATTTACTTCCATAATTGTCTAATTGGAATTTTTAATTGCAGAATTAAAAAAATAGCGTCCATTTTTATGAATAATCCAAATTTTTAATTCAAATATTGTTTGCTTACCTGTGTGAACATTGAGAAGACATTGGAAGCCGAGCGCTTGATTTTTTTCGAAGAACTTTTTTTGGAAGAACCGCCTCCTTCGCCTCCTTCTTCATCCTTCTTCTTCTTTTTAGATTTCTTCTCTGACTAATTATCAACAAAGGACTTTATTCTTTTTTATAGAAATTAATTAGTAAAGTTAAACATTAATGGAAATAAAACGAGACACTCTCATACCAAGTAACAATGAAATCATTGGACGTATTGCCACTTCTTCGCTTTTATCGATTATAGGTACAACTCTATGTATATTTTTTCTATATACAGGGTCCGGCAATAGTGCGTCGGGCATCTGTAGCTCCTAGAATAAAAAACTTGAGAATTTTGTTTAAGTGCAAACCTAAAGTATGTACTAGGGTGTATTTCACGAAAATATGTAAACTTCTATAGGGTGGGTCAAAAAAGTGTGAGTGGACCTGGATGATTTTTTTTAAATGGAAAACCCTGTATATTATTGCATTTTTGGCTTCCTTTCAGATCACTTTACATAACCCTAAGATATGAATAAATATATTTCGATAGTTTCAGAAATATTAAAAAATAAATCAAAAATGTATATTTTTCAGGCCTTCTTAAAAAGATTATTAAAAATACAGGAACTGTTCTGAAATTAAAAGTATATTAGGTATTTACTTTAGATGGTATGTTCTTACTTTGCTATAAATATGGAAATCGTAAATCATACAGGATATTTAATATTCTACGCCAAACTTTCTAAAATATAAAATATTTTTTCTTTGTTTTTTTAAACGGAACACCCTGTATATTATTTTTTTATTAGATCGAGAGTTAAAAAATGAACATTTTCTGTATTTAGAGTATTTCAAAATTTTTAACGGTTTGGCAGATACACGCAGTATTATTTCATATGGCGCTTTCAATGGAAAAATACGAGAGAAAAATCATTGGGTGGCTTTGATAAAAATTTACTGTGGAAAATGCCATATGAAATATAAAACCGCGAATATCTGCAAAACCGTTAAAAATTTTGAAATACTCTAAATACAAAAAATGTTCATTTTTTAATTCTCCGTCTATTGAAAACATAATATACAGGGTGTTCCATTTAAAAAAAAACGAAGAAAAATTATTTTATATTTTAGAAAGTTTGGCATAGAATTTTGAACATCCATGATTTACGATTTTCATATTTATAGCAAAGTAAGTACAAATTATCTAAAGTAAATACAAACTATCTAAAGTAAATACCTAAAATAGTTTTGATTTCAGAACAGTTCTTGTATTTTTAATAATTTTTTTAAGAAGGGCTGAAAAAAAAATATTTTTGATTTATTTTTTAATATCTCTGAAACTATCGAAATTTATTTATTCATATCTTAGGGTTATGTAAAGTGATCTGAAAGAAAGCCAAAAATGCCATAATATACAGGGTGTTCCATTTAAAAAAATCATCCAGGTCCACTCACACTTTTTTGAGCTACCCTATAGAAGTTAAAATATTTTCCTGAAATACATCCTGGTACATACTTTAGGTTTGCACTTAAAATTCTCAAGTTTTTTATTCTAGGAGCTGCAGATGCCCGACGCACTATTGCCGGACCCTGTAGAAGGATGTGATCAATAAGTGATAATCATTTAAGTGATTATCGCTTGGTGGCCATATTGTAATTGTCATTTTTTGAAATATTAATTCAGAATTCATTTCTGTCAGTTCCACAAAATATCCCGTCAATTCTTATTACAAAATGGCAAAAGAAAGATAAGGATATATGTACTTTATTTCGTTGTATAATCTTTTGAATACAACTTGATGTTTCGGAATTACCTAATACTTTTGCCTAACACTCAATGCGATCCGGCAACACTACTCCTCCTTCAGAGTCGTAGTGTTGCCGGGTAACGCATTTCGTGTCAGGTAAAAGTATTATTCGGTAATCCCGTAACATATTGTGGTATTCATTCGATAATTTTAGTTAATACTTTTGAGAAATACTTTTTTGTTTTGATATAACAGGGTGTAATTAGGCTAAAATAAATAATATAAAATTTTTGTTTTATTTAAACATTGTACATTATATTAATATACACAAAATAATAGGTAATAGATATTATAAAAAACCATACATTCAAAAGTAAAAAAAACAAAACAAAACTAACTATGTATAGTTAGTTTTTTTCTGTAATAAACTCAATTGAGGTTGCCAGGAGAAGCATGTATCCTTGTCCAATAATTCACTTGATAGCATTATTGAATTGCAAGATGCTACATTAAGACGATTTCTTAAGTCAGTTTTAATTAAATTAAGTTTTGAAAAAATTCTCTCCACGCACGCCGATGAATGTGGAAGATTACCGCCCTAATGAGCCTAATGAATTTATAAAATCTACCCTTGGAAATAAATTATTATTTATCATTAAATGTTCAGATAATGATCATAATTATATTTCTTGAAATATTTTTATCCGTTGTTTTTATGTTTAACTTCCTAACTGCAAAATGAAAATAAAAGCCAATAAAACCATATTAAAAGTTACTTATATTCGTAGTACCTTTGTTTATAACTATACCATTATATATGTTTATTGTGTATTGTGTATTCATATATGTTTAATTAACTACCTAATTACAAAATTAAAATTAATGTAATAAATGCATATTAAAATTCTAATTCAAAAATCGCGCCTAGTATTACGTCCCATTGTCAACTACCAAAATCAGCTGTGAGCCTATCCATGCGCCCCTAGCGGCCAAAAATCAATACGCGCACCGTCAGAATTTAGCCGCTCTCTTTAGATAGCAATTAATGTCAAAAGTTGACATATGATATGCCATTCTATTAAGAGTGTCATTTTCTATCGAATAAAGTAAAAAAAAATACCGGGAGTACCATTTAAAAATCAAAAGTTGTAGTAATTTCCGGTAAAACAGGAAGTGATTGAAACAAATAATTAAATATGCCAATCAATCCTAATTTATGGCATATGCAAACATATCAAATCTCGTTTTTTATAAAATAAAAAAGTTATAGGGGCGAACAACTCTTGAGAAACACCCGGTATATTATTGATCTTGACCCTAGAAAATAATACCTTCTCTAGAAATAAATAAAATCAGAGAAAAAATGCAATCGCAGTTTACTATAAAATGCTTCAATGGACCACAAAATTACATTCGCAACAGAATCGCAAATCTCAACTCCTAAAAATTCAAACTCGCAGATAGAAGGTTATCAGGATCCTAGTTTACAGAATCACAATCGCAGCAAAATCGTAACTAGTAGCTAAATATTGGTTGCATAAATTGAAAGTCGCAAATAGAAGAAATCGCAGTCGCAGTTTCCTATGAGGGCCAATCGCAGGTTGCGATTGCGATTTCAAAATCGCTGCGATTTGATCGCAGTTTGCGATTTGTTGCTCATCTCTAATATACTAAATTTTCTCAAAATTATTATTGCTTATTGAGTTAGCGTTTAGTCGGCTTTTGAGTTTGAAAAAAAAACAAATTTTTAATGGGCAATTAGACATATTTTATTTCAGGTATTTATATAGGACCGCTTAACCTAACCGATTTTCAATATCTAGTAAAATTAAGATTAATTTAACATTTCAAACAAAAACCAAAAGTGATTTTAAATAGTGCCAAATTATTTGAATATGACTACTCAATGAAAAAGCAATAAACGATCTTTTGATTCATATATCAAATAATAAATTTAACAAAATAAATTTAAAACTTTATGTATTGACATAAAGTTTTAAATTTATTTTTCCAATCTGGCTATAATCGAAATTCGAGTCAAACTCTCAATAGGGCGAAATTTGAAAGCCGCAAATTGAAATATGAATCAAAAGATCGTTTATTGCTTTTTCATTGAGTAGTCATATTCAAATAATTTGGCACTACTTAAAATTATAGGATGCCATATAAATGTTTAGCTTAGGATCACATCTGGATAAACCAAATGTCATATTCAATTGTCTTTTAATGGGAGAAACTGACAGATTTAATAAAATATAATTTACCCAAGTTTAAAAAAGTATGCGATAAAATCAATATTACAGTTGGAGATACAATACCTCATCATACCTTTGATATTATAACAGCAAAATAAAACACTAATTCACCACAATATGCTTTTAAAAAAACCTATCGCTAACCTGAGCACCTATACAGGGTGTCCCAGAAATAAGTGCAAATATTTTAAGGGGTGGTAGATCTCGATAAAAGAAACATATTTTCTCTTTATCGTTTTTCAAATAAGTCCAAAATAACGGAATTATTTTACTATGAAAATTTCCAAAAAAAATGATTTTTTGCTAAAATTGTGAGAACCACTGGACCTTTTCTGGATTTTCTTTCTGGAATTTAATCTAATACCTATGTTGCCATATTATCAAGAAATTACGTTTTTTAACTAAAAACTATAAAAATTTCCAAAAAATTTTTCAAAAAATTTCGAATTTTCAAAAATTTTTTTTTTGCGAAAAAAACATCATAGGCGTGTTTCTGGGGTTGAACTATACTACCAGTTAAAATATTTGCACTTATTTCTGGGACGCCCTGTATAAACGCTCAATTTGTAGAGACGTTTAGTTTTAATCATCTGCATACCGATGATACTAACATAGTTAGTTAAACACGCGTCATGTGTTTAAAAGTATAGTGTTTTGGTGTATTGTGGTGAATAGTAAATTTTATTTTGCTGAAAAACAATTCAAAGGCAGTTTCTGCCTCGATTTCGTTGTCACCTTGTTATATTAAAGTATTAGTAAAATTTTAAAAAAAAAGAGTTTCTTGCCTTGAACTGCTAATATAGAAATTAATTCCACGCTGTGTTCGACATAATGTGGATCAACCTGCTCTCACTACCGGTTTCGGGGCCCTACCCCATCATCAGGTGAGCTTGGGTCGTTTCCACAATATGTCGAGCACAGCGCAGAGTATATAGACACGACTTGTAAAGTAGCGGTAAGATATTAAATCCCGCATTGCGAGATAGCGGCCTGCGTGCAATGGTAGTACTGTCGTACTACCGAGGCACAACTATCGATAGTAAATAAAGGCTTTTTTCGGCTAGCCCAAATTATATAATGGAAAATAAATTTCTTGCAGTTTTTAGGTATATAATAAAATTATATAAGAGTTTCTTGCCTTGAACTGCTAATATAGAAATTAATTCCACGCTGCTATTCAGCATAATGGATCAACCTGCTCACACTACCGGTTTCAGAGGTCGTTTCCATCATCATGCCGAGCACAGCGCAGTCGTAGTATCAACACGATTTGTCGAGCGCAGCGGTAAGATATTATATCGCGATGCGGGACTTAATATCTTACCGCTACTTTACGACAAGTCGTGTTTATATACTCTGCGTTGTGCTCGACATATTGTGGAAACGACCCAAGCTCACCTGATGATGGGGTAGGGCCCCGAAACCTGTAGTGAGAGCAGGTTGATCCACATTATGTCGAACACAGCGTGGAATTAATTTCTATATTAGCAGTTCAAGGCAAGAAACTCTTATATAATTTTATTATATACCTAAAAACTGCAAGAAATTTATTTTCCATTAAAGTATTAGTATATAATTTAATAAGTTATTTCATCTAGAGAAATACTATGTATATATAATTACAGACATGGCTTCCAAACACTTAGACTTTATCAGGACAATGTTAATAAGGACAAATTTCAATGACATATATGCAGGAACCAAAACTTTTTGTCTTTTCGATAGAAGTTTTAAATATGTTGTGTAATGTATATATATAAATAATACAAATAAATAATCGAAGTTAAGACCTATATTTTTACAGGTTTTGGTTTATATCTTAATATATTTTGTTATAGCGGACCGATTTTGGAGATTTTTTAAGCAATTTGTATACCCCAGCATCCCTCAAGCAGAAATCTATGCTATCGAAAGATGCTCACAACTTATCTTAGATAAGAACTATGGGAAAGAAGAAATAGTCATATATATTATCTGATAGTCAAGCAGCATTAAAAGGGATCAACTCAGTAACTATCAATTCGAAGTTGGTAAGCGAATGCCTAGAGAAGCTGAACAAATTAGTTAAAGAAAATAAAGTCCTCCTACTCTGAGTGCTAGCCCACCAAGGGATAGAAGGCAATGCTAGGCGAATAGATAAAAATAAAAGATAAAAAATCCTCCCGGTCTAAGACACTCGAAGAAATTCTCAAACTTACGACCGAGAAAAATCTTGATGAAGATTTTTCTTGATTTGAGTAAGAACAATTTTTTGATTTTTACGGGTTTTTAAGAGGACACTCTCTTCCTAATGAACACCTCAATAAACTAAAAGTAAGAAACAACGACGAATGCAGATTCTGTGGGAAAATGGAGAAACACTGAACACCTCATCTGCGCCGAGTCGACAACTATTCGTGCCATAAACTTTGGTACGACTGATATCGGAGATGAAGAACTAACCTCTGCAAAACCGTCTCCGATACTGGCTTTTGTCAAAGCCCTAAGACTGTATGATAAGATATAACTCAAGAAAGAATACAATAATTGATGTGTAAGGATGAATAATCCCCCTCACATACATTCTAAATTCTCAGCAATTTGTAGCTAAGTTTTTATAAAAGTTTCCATGTATCGATTATTCGAGGAAAAACAAAATGTTGCTCTTTAACACCACTTTATCATTAAGGTGCATCTTTTCCTGATAGTTTGATTTGTTATTCATCTCAGTATCTTCATTTTTATTAGAGATATTTCCTTTTGAAGAAGACACTAACGATTTGATAGAATTTTAGCATTAAAATGATCTATTTCTAATGTCACTGGCATTGAAAATCCATATTATATTGTTTATTGGAAATTACCCTATGGTTTCAAGTGAGATAAACCAAATTTCAAGTGAGATAAACCAAAAAATAAACTATAGAGAAAAAATTGTTTTTCAAATTTTGCCAAAACATCAACATTTTGTTTTCCATCGTATAATGAACATAATAAAGAATTTAATTTTTAATATAAAAGGGGGATTAAACAGTTGAATAAGATAACTACAAATGGTTTAAAAACCACCAATATTGGCATACTAGCCAAAAATCTAATATATTGACGTTTAACAAACTTAAAAAAGGTGCCCGCGTTTTTCGTGCCGACCATTGTATTAAGTTATTAGTTTGAAATACCATAAAAACAAAAATTTTATGATTTTTGTGTTGACTAATCATAATCTGACACAATAAAATGTTAACACACTAAATTCTATAGAATCCAATAAGTAAAGAACATTTATTGTCACATGGGAACACGCATACAACATTATCCTCTAATTGAAGAAACTCACCATTTTTAGATTGTTATTCCTTTATCTGTTGTAACAGATAAACCGGCAACTGAAAGATCTGCGTGTGAGTAGAGACTTAAATAATTTCAATAGATTATTGCGTAACTTTCTAACTTTGCGCAGGTTTTCTATAGCGCCAGTTTAAAATACACACGCAGCCATGCTGAATACCTATCCTAATGCTCTATCTAAATATTTTTAACTTGAACTTTAAGAACTATTTGATGAGTGTATAGTATTTGGATCTATAGCTAAATTGTTTTAGCGGTATCAAATTTACTTTTAAAATAAATCCTAATGGTATAATAAATTCTAAATTAAGTGACAACATATTAGGGAAGTAGTAGTATATAGTAAGATCAGTAGGTAAGAACCAACTACTACATAAAGTATATCATACAGAATTACAAGCTGACAGAAAACTTAAGTCTTTTTTTATTTATACCATAAATGACTTCAGTCGTTACATTTTAAGTCAGTTTTGGAAAGCGGACTTAACACATAAAATATGAGTAATTTTCAAAAATGATTTGTAATTTAACACTTGAAGGGTCAGGGAAAAAAATCAGGTAAGTCAGTTTCTCTCCAAACTGAGAAAAGCACGATTTAATGCTCAAAATTGGCAGCGGGCCTGGAAATCGTAGTAAAGATTTGTTAGAACTAGGTAGGGTATTTTTAAAGGTAATTTTTATTAATTAAAAAACCATTGTAACAGACAATCGTAAAAACTCAACAATGACTTGCCTGGTTGTTTTCTCTTTTTGCTCGACTTGCCTGCTTTTTATCCTTTATAGCATAATATTTTTGACGCTATATATCTTCTGACTAGGCTGTTGTTTTTTTCAGTTTAGCGGTTTCTAAAGATGCTTACACTTACTCTGACCCTAATGCACCGAATATTTAAATGTAGCAAAAAAATTGAATTACCTACTTTTTCCCCTGGCTCTTCAACCTTTATTTTGAAACAGGAAAAGATTTAAGTCATTATGATAAATATTTAACAGCAGAATTTTCTTTTGAACTGTCAGGCCGGCATCCACACATCAGATCAAAATCAACAACACTGCCGCTCCAGCATTGGCTTAAATATATGCCATAGAAATATTGCATAGGGATCGAAACAAATCATCCCTTTTTAATAGATCTACAGGGTCCGGCAAGGTGCGTCGGGCCTCTGTAGCTCCTAAAATAAAAAACTTATTTTGTTTAAGTGCAAACCGAGGTGCAAACCTAAAGTATGTATTTGGATGTATTTCAGGAAAATAATTTAACCTCTACAGAGTGACTCAAAAAAATGTGAGTGGATCAGGATGATTTTTTTAAATGGAACACCCTGTATATTATTACCTCGATTATTACATTTTTTGCTTTCTTTCTGATCACTTTACCTAATTAAGATATTTTTAAAAAAGTTTTGGTAGTTTCAGAAATATTAATAGTAAATAAAAAAATGTATGTATGTGTATATTAAAAATACATTAACTGTCCTTAAATCAAAACTATATTAGGTGCTTACTTTAGATGGTCTGTACTTACTTTGCTAAAAATATCGTAATCTTAAATTATATAGGGTGTTCAAAATTCTACGTCAAACATTCAAAATATAAAATAATTTTTCTTCGTTATTTTAAATGGAACACCCTGTATATTATTCTTTTAATAGATGGAGAATTAAAAAATGAACATTATTTGTATTTAAGTATTTCAAAATTTTTAACGGCTTTGCAGATACTCGCGGTGTTATTTCATATGGCTCTTTCAACGATAAAATACGAGAGAAAAATCATTGGGTGGCTTTGGTAAAAGTTTACTATGGAAAATGAGATTTTGTTTGATTTGGATGACAGATTTTCTTTTCGCTAAATTATGGCCCCTGGCAAAACGTAAATACTACATTTTTTGTCTCTTGTAAAAAATGCCATATCGCATAGTTTTTTGAGAAAAAATGTTTGGAGTTATTCTTTCAAAGGAGGCCTACAAAATATACAGGGAATTTCAATATTTCGTGGACATGGAAGAACTTAATTATAATATTTTTAATCAAAATAAGTTAATTGCACACAATTTACAAAAGTGCTTCGTTTGTCTGTTCAATAGCGTCATAGGGGATCAATAAATAAATAGTACACGAATAATTTAAAATATATTAATTTTTTTGAGCTTTTTATGAAGTTTAATGTCAAATAATATGTTATAACTTATGATATTAACATAAAATTCCATATTTTCGTCAACTAGATTATTATAGCGTAGGTAATAAATAGATTTTATGCGCCTTCATAGTTTTTTTTTAATTCCATATTTTCGTCAACTAGATTATTATAGCGTAGGTAATAAATAGATTTTATGCGCTTCATAGTTTTGATGTAACAAAAATCATTTTTTGGAAATCAAAGCTCGAAAATTAGAAGGACCGTTGTACACAATAAAAATCGGTCGTCAGTGGAGTTCGAAAATATTTATACTAAAATTTATGTTATGTAGGGGTGGGGGTAGTTTTCACCCTTCCCGTACTTTTTCTTCATTTTTGTGAAAGTCAAATGTTAAAGTGCTTAGCAAAACATAGGCACCCCAAATCTCATTCAAATCAGAATAACGGTTCTTAAAATATCTGAAAAAATTTGTTTATTTTTTTAAAGTTTGATGCCCTCTGATGGACAAACGAAGCACTTTTGTATAGAGGTAACTTATGTCCAATGAATTTATTTTGATTCCAAAAATACGTAGTTCTATGTCCACAGAATATTGGGACACCCTGTCTAAATAGAATATTATAAATTTTTATTAATACATAATTTTTTCTTACATTCATGTTAATTTAGTTTTTTTCTATCTGTCTTGGGTTACTGTTTCCAGTGGTCTGTTATTGTTATTTAGCGCTACCAGTCTGATAATCTGTTTCTAACTCACTACCCTAGTTTACGTTGCGACCCTTTGATAAACACTTTAAAATAAATCTAGTTAATAACTCCAGCCTTATTTCGTAAGCCACTTATCTTGACACACGGCTGTATTTTTACAGATTTTTATTTGAACTACTTGAATAAATATAACAAAAAAATACATTTTAGAGACTCTGAAATCTAGAAACGTTTTAATTTCGATTAGGATAATTTAGTTTCAATCAGAAATAATATTATTTATTAATTTATTTTTTAAGCACAGAAATAAATATTATACAGGGTGGTCCGAACTGTATTCCAGAAACTCCGGGAGCGTATTCTGCAGATAAAAAGAAATAAAAAACTTCTTATAAATGTATGTCCGAAAATGCTTAGTTTCGGAGATACAGGGTGTAGAAGTTTCATTTTTATTCCGATTTTTTTCAAATAATTTCTGAAATAACGTCAGTATTTAGATGAAAATTGGTATCTGATAGTTTCTTGACATGAGGAATTCTTCTTCTTCTTCTTTATTCTCAAACTCTCCTTTTCAGGAGAGAGAGTTGCGTTGCCTAGGCCGCCAGGACCATTCTGGCAAAGTACTTTTCTGGTTTTCTTTTTTTTTCTCCTACTTGTAGAGGACGCCACCTTCATGTGTTTTAACTGTTTTGAAGAGTAATAACTTTTTGTCCGTACCTGTATAGAACTAACGAGTAAAAAAATATACATTTTCGTATTTTTTTACGTCAAAAATGTCTCTTGGTAGAAATCGTTACGAGCAACCCTTCTCGAGATATTTACAATGGGAATAGTCGTTACATGTCATTATTGACAAAAAATAAACATAAGTTGAGTAGATAGTTATGACTAAAATGATAAATTTGGGAAATTTTTATTTTTTTAAATTAATCATAAAGTTTTCTTCGAAAAAATGATGATTGATGATGATTTGGCACAAAACCATTTAAAATTTATGATTTCCAAATAATTAGTCAATTACTTATGTAATTGACTAATTATTAATTGACTAAATGTAATTAAACATGTTGACTATTTAGTCAACATGTTTAATTTATGTCAATGATGACAGGTATTGATAACTTCGATTTCAAATATCTCGAGAACTATTACTCGTAGCGATTTTTATTAAGAGATCTTTTTTACGTTAAAAACGTCGCAAATGTCTATTTTTTTACTTAGTAGTTTTATACAGGTACAGACGAAAAGTTATTACTCTTCAAACCAGTTAAAAATATGTAGGTGGCGACCTCTACAAGTAGGAGTCACATTGACATCAAAATCGAATTTCTCATATCAAAAACTCCCAGACACCAAATTTCATCCAAATATTGACGTTACTTCAGAAATTATTTGGAAAAAATCGAAATAAAAATGAAACTTCTACACCCTGTATCTCCAAAACTAAGCATTTTAGGACATACATTTATAAGAAATTTTTTAATTATTTTTATCTGCAGAATATGCTGCTGAAGTTTCCGGAATACAGTTCGGACCACCCTGTATATTTAGTATAATTGTCAATATATGGCAACAAAGAGATATTTGCCTGTCTAAATCAAACTTTTCTAAATAAGTAGTGATGCTATTTCTTCTCTCTTTCTCTTACATTGAGTAAAAACGATTTTTAAATGGTGTAGTTTAAAATACGAGAAAAAATAATTTTATTGAAATAGATTTATGTGTCTGGAAGCATTCTATCCTTTTCTAATCTTTATATAATTAGTGTTAATTTTGAAAAGTTTTATGTCAATTTTATTCCCCAGCCGTCTTTGACACCGTTTTTTTTTTCAGTCATCCGTATTTCACACCTGGCAAACATTGAGGGGAACGATATTTTTCAAAATTTTCACCTACATGGTCTAATTATACATGGTATAGACAAATTAAAATCGACCGTCTATCTTTTCAAAGTGGCAGCTTTAACTAGGGGATGCAGTTAAAAAAGATTTGGATAACAATATTGATCAAAACTCACATTCACTCATTTAAAGAAACAACTTAAGAATGTGTCGAAATCACGTGAGCAGACGATTTATTTGACAGCTTAACCCTGGCAGACGCCTGTTAAAGTGGCATATTTTACAGTAAAGTGAACGACAAGTATTACACATTAATTTTTGTGGTTGTATTCCCCTATTATTACGTTAACTAAAAACCATATGGCAGACAAAATATTTGTCAGCGTTTCTGTTGGCAGACGCTGTCAAAGTGACAAGCTCACCTTAGTAAACAATATTTATAATCGCTTAAATTGGTAAAATATCATAAACTACACGGGTATTTTTTAAATTTAAGAAAGCAGACGACCTATTTGACAGCTTAACTTTGGCAGACGCTTGTTAAAGTGACATATTTTACGATAAAGTGAACGAAAAGTATTACACATTAATTTTGGTGTGTGTTCCCTTATTAGTACGTTAACTAAAAACCATGATACAAAGAATACAAGGTATGATATTGCGCAGGTTGGTCACTACGTCACAGGTGATAAACGGCACCATTGGTCGGCAAGCTCTGCCCGCCAATTTCAAATTGTCAAACAGATTGTGTCATCTGTGAAATTTGATTGTGTCAAAATGTGAAAATAATTTTTCAAATATCAAGTTCGATGATTTGACATAACTTTTGGGGTTATGTCCATAGATAAATAGATAAAATTTTATAATACATTTCAATTTTATTATACAAGATAGACGATAGACGGAGGAAGAAATACCAATTGAAGAGAGGGGTGCGGGGTAGGGGGTTGTTTTAGTTAATTTAAAAATAAATTTAGATACATAAGAACACTTTGTGTGCTTTTAATTAGGTCGAACATATTATAAAAGATAAATCAACCGAATTAAAAGCATACAAAGTGTTCTTATATGTCGGATATTCCACATTAAAAATATATTAAAAAGACTAGAAATAGTATATATTAAGTTGTTACAGCTATAATTTAATCTTTGGCGGTTTTCTGCAAATAGCAGGCAGGTTTACATAATTCTCCTCCCTTGAAGTTGAATCTGAAACGGCTATATAATTTTGGTGTAGGCAAGATTCCCAGTTTGTTTCCGTTTGAGACCTGAAATAATAAAAACAAATTGTACCTTGATGTAATCATCTGCTGATCATGCTAATATAACACAACGCGCGTCCCTAATTCCTTACATGCACCGTAAAAATTAAATAACTGCTCAGCAAGTAGCATTTATGAAGAAAATTAATTTAAAAAATCTTATAACTTTTTTTTTTTTTTTTTTTTAATTTTCTTACCATTGTATCCTTCTGAAACCAGGTGTACAACAATTAAACTCCATGATAAAAATAAATTAAGAGTCTATACAAACACAAATTGCTCTAATTCATTAAAAAACATTATCTAAAACAGAATACTGGCAAAACCTCTGAAGGAATTTAATTTTACAATAATTCGACAATCAAAACGAAAATCAAAAACTCGTAAAAAAAAACTAAAAAAAAAAAAAAAAAAAAAAAAAACAAATAAAATCAAATTTTATTATTGTCAGATATTGACATTTGCGTTGTTAATATTGGACAGTTTTAATATTTTGCGCCTCCGCATCTTGAGGAAAAACTATTTTTAATGAACCGTCATTTCCATTTAAGCTTCCCAGCCATGGATATGTGTCCTAATCCTTCCCTATTTTAGGTCTTTTTATTAGGTACTATACAGGATATTTTATGGCCTATGACGTCACAGGTGGTATGCGCAAACTTAACGAAATTGGAGCCGCTATCGATCATACCTTGTTTTCTGTACCATGACTAAAAACCTTTGAATAAGAAGACTAAGGAAGGAGCATATCAAAAATCTTAGGTACACCGCGATGGGCCTCAAATATGGCCGACTTAAATTCCGGTTTATCAGTGTCGTTCTAATTTTATTTAAAAAATGTAAAACTATGATGTAGGGTAGACGTGGGGTAGACTGAATAATTTGTTGTTTTATTTTTACGTTGTGAATAAATGTTGGTAGTTATTAAATTGTTATAAAAATATATAATTCTAATAAAATAGATAAGTTAAATTGGGCATTTATTACCACAAACATCCGATACGCTACTGAAGCAGGTAAGTCAAATTAACGTATCTAAATTCTTTTGACATCTAATCTTTGACAAGTAATAAATAAAAGCTAAATGCAAGAAAAATATATAATTTAGTTAATTTAAGTGAATTTCATAATGATCGGTTTACTACACGTATGTATATTATATAGTCACTTCCTAGCGAAAAGTTGTTCCATTATTTCACTCAATTCTTGCCGAGATCTACCGCACGCTGCACAACCAACTATTTTAGAGTCTTTTTCTGATAAATCAGCATAGTGTCACTGTTAATTTTAAGTGCTGCCACAATTTCCATCTAGATTTACTACCTTTATACAACTATCAGTAGTAGAATAAATAATAAATAACATAAAAATAAGCTTCGTAAAGACTGACAAATCCACAAAATTTCAAATCAAATTCAAATGTGTCAAATGAATCGTCAAACAGAACTATCAAGGATCCCCACCCTAGAGTGCTTTTATGGCGCTTTTTCCGCCCACCATGCATGAATACATGGATAGCATTATGCTCCTTCCTTAGTCTTCTTATTCAAAACTAAAAACCATATGGCAGACGAAATATTTGACAGCGTTTCTGTGGCAGACGCTGTCACAAAAAACGCAAAAATTGCTTTCTGTCTGGCCGTGGGCTTAGAATAATTATACATATAATAATTTTTTTGTATAACTCGCTATTTAAACCCGTGTATTTGTAATATGCCCGTTGTTTCTGATATTCTCCTTTACGGAGAATGCACCAAGCCAATCATAAACAACATATTTATTTTCCTATCTGCATTGTATGTACATTTTCTTTTTAATTATATTTTTCCTTTTTTCCATTTGTTTACATTCTATAATGAAAACTTGCCCTTCGGCACACAAACATACTATGTTCTCCCGCTCTAAAAGTGACGAAGCAGAAAGCCATACATCTTTATCACCACCTCTTCCCCCTACAGCATTTATCCTTTATCCTGACCACCACCCACCCAGATTAATTCTGCAACATATCTCCTGCTCGGGGCTGTATAGCGCGCACATACCGATTGTGACTCAATGGGAAACCACCAGGTGCTGTATAGCGCACAGCTCTAGCTTCCTGATCCTCTCTCTACTCACAATGCCCCATCTTAATGACGTAATTTGTAATAGATTAGCCGGGCACAACAAGGGACGAGCATAATTAAAAAAATAATTGAATTTCTTTGTTTCATTTTAAATATAACATAATGTAAAGGAGAGACAAGCAGTGTTTTGACGAATATCAATGTGTAATCCTGTGATAGAAAAAAAGATATGAAATACTTTTATACGTGCAATATAAAATTTAGTTCTAATTATAATATATTTTCAAAGTACCTACTCATACTAGATCCAACCAGATCCATATTACCATCTATACCAGATCCAACTTTAAGACCCACATATAGTACAGTACAATACATTTTCATAGAGGCTTTATCTGTCTCAGACGTAGGCATAACACTGTACAGGGTGGGCCAAATTGCACGCTTTTAAATAAGAGATAGACGTCTCTACAGGAGTATAAACTATATAATATCTGTCTGGAGCTCATTTTTTTATCAAAAACATGATATACGGATAAAATCGCACATCGATATATGTTACCGCTCGTGTTACCGTTTCGGAGTTACGAGGTATTTTTCAAAATAAATGTGCATTTTTAACAAATCGTTGTAACATTTTTGCCATGGAAAATTTTCTATTTACATATATGAAAACATTTAAAAAGCACCTTTTCACGTAGAATTTAATGGTTTAAGTATAATTTTTTTTAAATTAATAATTTAAGAAGTATCAATAGAAAATTAAAATTTTTTTATATGAGACACCCTGTATATTTTTAATTCTTGAAAAAGATTTTAAAATTACCTTTCCAAAAATACAGTGTGTCCCAGAAATAAGTGCAAGTATTTTAACTGGTAGTATAGTTCAAACCCAGAAACAAGCCTATGTGTTATTGGTTTGGTTGCTGGCCTCCATAGATTGGACTCTTTTAGACTCCATAGACTGGACCAAGGCCCACTTGAGGGTGCAGCCACACTATCCTAAAAACGGCGTATCGGCGTAACGGCGTAATGACCTTGAATAGATTTCCAGTAATTCTATTGGCTGAAACATTCATCTGTCAGAAATTTTATCTGTCAAATTCATCTGTCAAAAATTTCAGCCAATAGAATTACTGGAAATCGATTCAAGGTCGTTACGCCGTTACGCCGATACGCCGTTTTTAGGATAGTGTGGCTGCACCCTGACCGTGCACGATACGTGTCACTGTGACATATAGTTTTGACGTAAGAAATGGCAAAAGTTGATGTCCGATCGCAACTATGGAGTCTAAAAATCGCAACCATACAAATTTGGTGGGCAGGCTATGTGAGCGACTATGCACACCGATGCACACGGTCTCACCCTGCAAAGTTGGATACGACGTTTCGTTTACATCTTCATCAGAAAGCGGACGGACGTACAGACGGACCGACAAACGGACAGACAGACGAACAGAAAACCGAATTACGTTTTAGTCCAAATGTGCGCACATAGTGCACACAAAATTTGTCTCCACAAAATAATAAACTAAAGATTTTAGTCTGTGATTTTAGTCATTTGCACATCCCATTCAAAACCGCATTAACTCAAAATAGGAAACCTGGTCAAGGGAAGCAAAAAATGCAATACCTATATGCTGCTTTTTGAATATTAATGGCCAAATGATATTATAGTGGATTTTTTATAGAATTTTACTGGTATTTTTCTGGGGCATAAATTAGATTAAAAGTTTTCGTAATAATAAATACCGTATGATCGAATAAAAACGGCGTCAGCGATGGCTATGGAATGAAGATCGCTGTCATTTTATATGTAAAATTATATGGAAAATGTCATCGATCGTCATTTCATAGCCATCGCTGACGCCGTTTTTATTCGATCATACGGTATTTGTTGGAGATAATACAGTAAAACAGTTTTGAACGGGGATTGATATTTTACAAATAAACATCTACGTATCATAGGCAACTAACTATACAGACTTTAAATTATCAGCAGTCATCTGTCATCTGTGCAATCAGCTGATCAGCTCTGATCAGCTGTCTGCTGTACCCTTAATTCAAAGGCTGTACCTGTACCCATGCTGTACCGAAACAGAGACCGAAATGACGAATCGTGTTGATTGGTGTTGATATTTAATTTAGTATTATTAGCTGTTATTAATTATATTAGTAGTACTTGTCAGACATTTTAAAAGATGACAAAAGTTATATTAGGTGGCGGTTTATCGGGACTATCAGCTGCTTATTATCTCTCCAAAGTAAACCATCAAAAAATAGTTTTATTGGAAGCAGCCAACAGGCTTGGTGGATGGATAAAGTCTGAGATAAATGAAAACGGCGTTATTTTTGAACAGGGTCCGAGAACAATTCGACCTAGTGGAATCCATGGTATAAATACGTTAGATCTTATTGAGGAGTTAAATTTAAGTTCAGATATTCGACCAATATTGAGTAGTAATCCTGCAGCCAAAAATCGAATGGTGTATGCAAATGGTGAATTACACACACTTCCAAACTCTATAGGTAGCTTATTTAAGGTACAGAAACCTTTTTCCAAACCATTGTTTCTGTGGCTCCTTGGAGATATTACAGCTAAAGTCAAAATTGTAAATGATGAATCTATTTATGATTTTACCAAAAGAAGGTTTGGTATTGAAATTGCAGATTATTTAATTAGTCCATTAATAAGGGGTATTTGTGCAGGAAATGCTAAAGAAATCAGTGTTAAATTTTTAATGAAAAACTTGTTTGAGTATGAACAGAAATATGGTAGTATCTGTAAAGGTATATTCAATAATATTTTTGTTAAGAAGGAACCTTTAGTTCGAAAACCATTAGCAACAAGAGCTAAGGTTGAACGCTGGAATGTTTACACCTTCAATAATGGCATAGAGACACTTACAAAAGCTTTGGAACTAAATATTAAAAGCAATAATATAGATATCCACAAAAATGTTTTCGTAAATAAAATTCAATTTAAAGATAACAGTGCTGTAATAGAAACTTCAAATGGTAATAGTTATTGTTGTGAGCATATTATAAGTTCTATTGGGGCCAAAGATCTTGCATCTTTATTGAAAGATGAACATCCTGAATTAGCAACAATGTTGAATAGAATCAAAACTGTTACAGTAGGTGTTGTAAATCTAGAATTTCAGGGCAATCAGCTTGGAGAGCCTGGTTTTGGATTTTTAGTTCCACCAAGTGAAACCCCATCTATATTAGGAGTGATATATGACTCTTGCCAGCATCCATATGATAATACTGTTTTGACTGTTATGATGGGGGGCTACTGGTTTAAGGAGCTTTTTGGTGACAATCCTAGTAACGAATTTTTGCTTAATATAGCTTTAAAAGATATTCAAAATATATTAAAAATACAAACTCCTCCATTAAGGTATAAAGTTCAAATTTTAAAAGACTGCATTCCACAATATGTAGTAGGACATGAAAGTAACTTAAGTAGTATTGATAATTACATTAAGAACAATAGTTTACCTTTATCATTATGTGGATCCTCTTATCATGGTGTTGGTATAAATGATGTAATAATATCTGCAAAGAATGCAGTGAATAATTCAATATATTAAGGATTTTTTTGTTATATGACAATTTGTACATTTGTTTAAATAGTTTCTAAGTCAGAGAACTAATTGTAATTCAAAATAATACACATTTATTTATAAATATATTTATACAAGTAGTTATCTAATACACCAAATATCATTAATTAATTAATGCCTCCTTGCCTGAAAAAAAACTTTTATGAAGATTGGTATAAATATTTATAGTCTAGCAAAAAAAAAGCATTCTCATGCCAAAATAAAATAAAAATTAAGTTTTTATTATATAAAACAATACATCTTACAAATCTATTTGAATACTAATATAAATATAAAAAATTCTAAATACCTACCATGCATCAATTGTACATACTAAATATAAAAGGAACTAAATCTATAGTAATCTACATTATTAAACATAAATGCTACTCGTGCACATTAATCAAAATATAATTCTAATTAAATTTCTGCAGTCTGATCATTTGACATTACCTACAAACTTAATTTCATCAAAAGCCTTTCTAGCTCTTTTAAGTTCTTCATTCATAGTTAATAGATCTTTAACTCTTGCATACTTCCTTGGATCTTTGCGTACTAGAAATACTATATCTTCCACTTGTACTCTTCCAGTTCGACCTATTTCCATGGCTCTAAAATATTTAAATAAAAATGTTATTAACACAAAGCTTAACAATTTTATGTACAATATTTAAACAGCATACTTCTGTGTCATTTCAGTAATGAATTCAATAACTAAATCTTCTATAATGTCTACGCTTTCTGTGTAAGGGTTTTGATCATCTCCAAAGCCATACATCATGCACCTCAATTCTTTACTAAAAAGCCTCTTTCTGCCTGCTGTACTTAATGCTACCGATGTATCAGCAGCATCGTCTTCTTCAAACTGTAAACAAAATATGTAAATATTTTGTTGGAATTTGACCGATTTGCAAATACCGTTTCAAAATTTTCGTCGGTTGCCATTTTAACGAACAAGTAGATTTCTCCAAATAATTTAAGGAGAAATTGTTTTATTAAGATTTGTTAGTTTTAAAATCAAAATAAATACAAGTATATAAAAAAATAAACATATGAAACGCTGAGGGCTACAGATCACAGATCACGCACTTTCCAAAATAAGTTGAAGTTGACAGTTATAAATAGGTATTCTGTGGTTATAAATATATTAGGCGTACCCTGGGCGTACCCTCTGGGCGTACCCAAGGGCGTACCCGAACTGTATATGAACAATAATCATATTAACTTTTTATATCAAAACATAATGTTTAACGATATGATTGATTCTTATATTATTTATGTTTTTAAGCACACAACAGTTAAGTAAACATCTACCTTTGGTCGAGCCGAAAATAAAGGACTTTTATTATTTATATACACATTGTGGTTAGGCAACCAAAAATACTATATTAAAATATGTGTGTATGCAAGGTGCATTCATTGTTAATTGGTACTGAAATGGATTAGTATAATGAGTATAATCTTAGACAAGGAAAGAGAGGGGACAGGTAACAGGGCAGCTGAAAGTGAGGCAAGTTATCACCACGCGAAATTCTCCAATGGCGTAGCATCAGAAATTAGCTTGTACCTAGACGGTATAAAATATTTATTAAAACGTAAACTAATATATCGTTCATTTTTGAGTAATGCATATACAATTTTGTATTTTATAGTCTCATCTTTATAATATTAGAATATCTCAGTCGATAATGCAAAATTTATTAACAGTCACAGTGGACTGATTATCAAGACAATTATTTATTTATTAACGTGTGTATAATGCATAATTAAATAAAAAATAATGTAAATATATATGTTTTAAATGTGTATATACATATTACCGTATGATCGAAAAAAACGGTGTCTTGTTTGTTTGGAAATGACAATTTCACAAATTAATATTAAAAATTACATTATTCATTGAATCCGTAAGCAAGTGTGAAGAGGATTAGCTAGATTCATTATTATACTGTATGATCGAAAAAAAAACCGACGGCCAGTTGGCTTGTAAATTACGATCAATGACATTCCCCATATAATTCTACATATAAAATGACAAAAACTATACAAAACGACATCGAAAAAAGACGGCGTCAGCGATGGCTATGAAATGAAGATCGCTGTCATTTTATATGTAAAATTATATGGGGAATGTTGTCGATCGTCATTTACAAGCCAACTGGACGTCGTTTTTTTTTCGATCATACGGTATAATAATGAATCTAGCCAATTCCCTTCACAGTTGCGTACGGATTCAATGAATAATGTAATTTTTAATATTTGTTACCTTCAATCATAAGAATATTCTTATATTCCACCAAAAAAAATAAACAATTCTAGAAGCTTTTTGTGTTATTTTATTTATTTTTAAATTTTTATTAATTGCTTACTGAAGAAACTGTTATTATACACCTAAATTAGCAAATTTCTTGAAAGAATATTTAAAAAAATATAGTAACAAGTAGCCCACCACAAGTTTGTCAACCCCCAGCAAATCTTGGCAGGTAAATTTAAGTTTTATATAACAACTATATACATATAAATTTTTTATCACTAGAATTTTTCATTTTTTTTATAGTTTACAATTATTTTACTATTTGATAACAATACTTTATACATTTTTTTAAGTGTAAAATATGTAAAAAATGTTTATTGCAGAAATTGTATTTCTCTAATTATAATTCCCTACGCCGCTGGAGAAATCCATGCTGAGTAGCGTTATTTATAGTTTCAAACATTAATTATAACACAGGATATTGAAAATACTATTTGGAATTATTAAAAATAGTTTTGTTAGTATGTGGTACAAGACATATTAAAAGCATTTTACATATTTTTACTGCTATAATGGAAAAAATTACATTTTATGACCACATAACAAAAGTTGTGTGTCGATTTTTACCTGTGAAATGTAATTCCAGGCACTTTTTTCTCGCTTCGGCCTTTGCAGCCATACGCTGAACATTTCACCATACTAAACAACACAGTTTATAAATTTAAAACAAAACAGTATTCACAAAAAGCATAAAAATTCGCTTGGTGTCACCTCGAAATCTTGTCACCAAAGTATGGCCGCCGATCAATTTTTGGCCTCAAAAATTTTTCACTGAAGAATATGCGTGTAGCCCTGTTCTCAGAACGTGCAGCCCTGTTCTCAGAACGACGTCGTGTCGCTGGCGACACAGTTTGACATTTCAAACAACCAATGGGAGCTGTACTAAATTTAAAATTGACAGCTGTTTGAATTTTGTACAAATCTCATTGGTCCTCTTGACGTGTCGCTGGCGACAGTCGCTGTTCTGAGAACGGGGCTTTAGCTGTCCCCTCTCTTTCCTTGTCTAAGGGTATAATCTTTGGGTATAATTAAGAATTTGAAGTTTTATACTACATTACTGTACACCTGCTGTACACTGCTAGAGTGTTTTAAAGAATAATAAATGATAAACTAGATCAGGAAATTTAAATATATGACCCGCATATATGAGCAAGGAATTTGTGACACCACAAATGACCGCTCTTGTTTAATCCATAGCTCAACATGCTGTCAACTGTCAACTATCTGTTAATCATCTGTTAATCTTTGGTAATGCTATAAACAGGTTATTGAGGTTATAAAAGCTCTGTTTTTAAAGAACACAAGCTCATTCTGTAAAGTAGTATAAAACCGAAAATATCAAGAAGTACTTCTACTTTTGAGTGATTTTTAGTTTAAAGTTCTTTCAAGTAAAATATTTGCGCGTTCATAATGCCTAAGTACTATTGTGATTACTGTGATACGTATTTAACACATGATTCCCCAAGCGTACGGAAAACTCACTGTACTGGAAGGAAACATAAGGACAATGTTAAGTTTTATTACCAAAAATGGATGGAGGAACAGGTATGTAACTTACTGCTTTCTAGTTAGTGTTTAGTACCACAACCGTATGGTGTATAACAGTAAACACCATAATATAATAGATGTATATTACATTTAAGGTTCTCACTAAAATTAAGTTGAGTTCAGTTATTATTTTAGTATCCATACGTGTTTACAAAGTTTTTTCGGTGCATCTGTATACATTTGTTATAAGCATTTATTCATAAGTGTTTAAATTTGCCTCAATGTGCTCTAAGATTATCTTATTAATTTTAAATATGTTTTAGGCTCAACACCTTATCGATGCCACAACAGCAGCGTTTAAAGCAGGCAAAATTGCAAATAATCCATTTGCACAGCCAGGAAAAGGAGGAGTTGCTATTCCACCTCCAGCTCAGCTCTTAGGACAGAGACCAGGTGCACCACCGCAGGGCCCAGGAATGATTCCACCAGGAGGTAAGACATAAATTTATTGAATGTATGGATAGATATTAAATATATTTTTTTCTTACAGCTATGGGACCTGGGGGACCGATGCCTCCGATGGTGATGGGCCCTCATGGACCTATGCCACCTATGATGGGGATGAGGCCACCAATGATGGGAATGATGCACATGGGTCCAATGGGACCCATGGGACCTGTTAGGCCGCCAATAGCTCCCAAATAAGTTTTGATTCTGTGTATAGTTTTATATGACGTAAGAAATAATTCAATATAATTAAGTTTTATGATCACGCATGCTAGCAGATCAACAATATGTGTAGTGAATTACATTAGTTTTTTTTTGTAAGTTAAGAGTGAAAGCTGGCTTGCTCATAAAACTTTATGATCATACAATATATGTGTACATAGTGGTGTATGTTTGTAATAAAAATGTTTATAAGGTACAGTAGTTTCTTTTTCTGGCCTCTATTATAGTGAAATTTTCCACCCGCTTCTTTTGTATATTATTTTCTAAATGCACTTAATTGCTTAAATTCTCTTATGTACTCTATGTTACATTTATTAAATATTAGTAAAGTATAAGGTTCTTTATATTATATTCACTGAAAAGGATTCTCCAATATTTATCATTGACTTCTATAAGTACTACAACTCTACATATTAAGAAAACAACTTTATCCTGCATTATTTACATCAAATTGTTTAAGGGCATTATTTTTTTAATAGATACACCTAAGAGGTACACCTGATTAAGGTTCAGAACCGGGAAGTCCCGGTTCTTTTCGGACATTAAAGAACCGGGACTAGAAATTTTTAATTCCTGGTTCTTTCTGTACTCGGTAACAATAATTAAAATTTGTCCATTGATACTTTCTAGGTGTCGAAATCAAACTCTTCTCAATAAGTAGTGATCTTACTGTTCTTACTTCTGAAGTTCTTTTGAAGTTTCTATAATGTTTATTAGCAAATATTGAAGTTTAAATATGTTAGTTTATCATTTAGTATAATGTTGCTAAATGTATTAGTTATAGTTTTTTATGTTTTTATATTCATTTGCATTAATTTTTAATTAAAAATATATTTTCTAACTTCTTCAAATTTATAGTTAATTTGGTTTATGTTGTTTGATGTAAATTTTAAGTTACCTATATGTTTTTTTCCTTCGCTTCATTTGTATTCATTTTAATTTTCTCAGCATTGACACTTGATATTATTTTCAGTTAAAACTAGAATTTTTTTTAACGATTTTACTTTTGAAAACCATCATTTGCTTGGTGATTGACGAACTGCACAATCATTGAACATTTCCTATAGTATCGGGAGTACTGACAAAACCGGAAAATCCTGGTTCCTTAGAGGCAAGGTACCGAAATTCCGGGCTCCGAAAAACCAGCTCCATTTCCGGTAACCCTAATACCTATATACCATTGGAAAAAAATTGGATATTTTAATAGAATTATATCCAAATGAGAATCATTAGACAATGGTAAACAACTTTATAGTATATAAAGGTAAATGCCTATTGTTGAAATAAATTTCTATAATACAGGGTGTCAAAAAACATTGTAACTTATCATCTTTTATATTGAATTGTGATATCAATTGAAATATATGTAATTAAAGTTTTATGACACCTCATTACATATTTATATTCTATGAGACTTGTGGCCTCCCTAGATGTTTCAGGTAGATTTTTTGCCATATTATGTGTATTATTTCTTTGAATTTAAATTGCAATATTATATTATACATTCAAGAGACATTGTAGTAGTGAAAATCAATTAAAAGGGGATAATTTACTCATACCATAAACGGAATTGCTTATAAAGTGCAATACAACTTTTTTTTTATTTACTTTTATTCTAATAAAATATATTAACTTTAAATTGTAAGCTACGTGTAAATTAAATGTTTAAGAATCCATTCCTATTCCAATCCAAATCCAATTAATGTTTTTTTGTTCTAGAAAATTGAATTTTATCTCCTGTAAACCAACACATGTCGATTTAGATTTTTTTTCGATGGAAATTTGGAAAAGTATAAAAAGGATTAACCATTTTAGAACAAGCAAAATTTTTATAAAGCATGCGTTGTTCTCAAAATTGCAATAATAAAAAAGTTTTTCCTCTTGTAAAAACAATCGGGAGACATAATGTATATTAATAAGATTTGTCTTTCATATATACAGGGTGTCCCAGAAATAAGTGCAAGTATGTTAACTGGTACTATAGTTCAACCCCAGAAACACGCCTATGATGCTTTTTTCGCGAAATATTTTTTTTGAAAATTCGAAATTTTTTGAAAAATTTTTTAGATTTTTTTTTAGTTAAAAACATAATTTCTTGATAATATAGCAACGTAGGTAAATTAGTAGATAACGTAGACTAAATTTACAAGAAAGAAAATCTAGAAAAGATCCAGTGGTTCCCAAAATTTTAGCAAAAAATATTTTTTTTTGGAAATTTTCAAAGTAGAATAACTCATCCTTTATTTTGGACTTATTTGAAAAACGATAAAGAGAAAATATGTTTCTTTTATCAAGATCTACCACCCCTTAAAATACTTGCACTTAGTTCTGGGACACCCTTTAAAACACAAATATTCTCAATATACAGTATGTCCCCAGATTGTCTTTACAAGAGGAAAAACTTTTTTATTATTGACATTTTGAGAAAAATGTCAATAATAAAAAATTTGAATTAACATCAAAATTTGATGAAAATTGGTGTCGGGGAGTTTTTTGACATGAGAAATTTGATTTTGTGTTTTAACTGTTTTGAAGAGCAATAACTTTTCGTCCGTACCTGTATAAAGCCACTGAGTAAAAAAATATACATTTTCGTGATTTTTTACGTAAAAAATGTCTTTTGGTAAAAATCACTACGAGCAACTGTTCTCAAGATATTTAGAATGGAAATAGTCAATACATGTTATACTACTACTACTATACCTATAATAAACATATGTTGAATAGATAGTTTTATTTGACTGAAATTTGAGAAATGTTTATTTTGTTAAATTAATCATAAATTTTTCTTCTAAAAAATTATGATAAAACAGTTTCTGTTGAACTTTTGGTACAAAAATATTTCAAATTTATGATTTCAGTCTAATAACTATTTAGTCAACATGTTTAATTTATATCAATGATGACATGTATTGATATTTTCGATTCCAAATATCTCGAGAACCATTACTCGTAGCCATTTACTTATTTTTATCTGCAGAATATGCTGCCGAAGTTTCCGGAATACAGTTTGGACCACCCTGTATATGGCTGATTTTTTTCCTAAAAATCCTTTGAATAAGAAGACTAAGGAAGGAGCATAACTTTGAATAAGAAGACTAAGGAAGGAGCATAATGCTATCCATGTATTCATGCATGGTGGGCGGAAAAGCCACCATAAAAGCTCTCTAGGGTGGGGATCCTTGACAGTTCTGTTTGACGATTCATTTGACACATTTGAATTTAATTTGAAATTTTGTGGATTTGTCAGTCTTTACGGAACTTATTTTTGTTATTTATTATTTATTCTACTACTGATAGTTGTATAAAGGTAGTAAATCTAGATGGAAATTGTGGCAGAACTTAAATTAACACTGACACTATCGCGATTTATCGAAAAAGACTCTAAAATAGTTGATTGTGTAGCGTGCGGTAGATCTCGGCAAAAATTGAGTGAAATAATGGAACAACTTTTCGCTAGTAAGTGACTATATAATATACATACGTGTAGTAAACCGATCATTTATGAAATTCACTTAAATTAACTAAATTATATATTTTTCTTGCATTTTAGCTTTTATTTATTACTTGTCAAAGATTAGATGTGAAAGAATTTAGATACGTTAATTTGACTTACCTGCTTCAGTAGCGTATCGGATGTTTGTGTTAATAAATACTTATTATAACTTATCTATTTTTATTAGAATTAGATATTTTTATAACAATTTTAATATCTACCAACATTTATTCACAACGTAAAATAAAACAACAAATTATTGAGTATACCCCACGTCTACCCTACATCATAGTTTTACATTTTTTAAATAAAATTAGAACGACACTGATAAAGCGGAATTTAAGTCTACCATATTTGAGGCCTATCGCGGTGTACCTAAGATTTTTGATATGCTCCTTCCTTAGTCTTCTTATTCAAAGTAAAAATCAAAAGACGTTTCTATGGCAATATCAATTCGATTTCATTCTTTGATAAATGGTTATTATTAATTTTGATTAACATCATATTCTATTGTTAAAGTATCATATTTTCCGATAACTATCATCACCCTTTCCGTAGCATCGAACTAAATAATTTCTGTGCTTCTTTAACGTTTTAAAACAACAAAAAACATTACCTACGTTAATTAACAAATAACAAAAAATGAATAACAATCTATCAAAGAATGAAAACAAAGTTATATTACTATAGAAACCGCGTTTTGAAACGCGTGAAAAATTCAACCATATTTTTATGTTTTTCTTAATTTTCTCTAAAACGGTATACAAGCAAATTTTTTTATGAAAAATGCTCTTACTCAAAATGTCAATAATTAAAAAGTGATTCCTCTTATAAAGACAATCCGGGGACATATAGTCCTGTATCTCCTACGCGGATCAAAGGGTTTCAGTGAAAGCTCGATCTCTATCGAGTTCTATTTTTGATAGTTGTTTTTGCTTCCTTCCATGTTGACCCTATTTGTTGAAGCTCATCCAGTATGGAACGTCTCCATGTTTGAGCAGGTCGTCCTTGCCTTGTTTTGCCTTGGGGATTCCACTTTAATCCGGGGACATACTGTATATTAACAATAATTTTAATCCCATAAATTGAATTCTTTATATAATTAATAATTATTGTATATGAAGGGCGTCGGACATACAAAAGATATTTTGTTATTAATTTTTAAATCGCAACCTTTTTTTAAATGTCATTTTTTAAGGTTTTTTTCTGGGTTATTTTAATCTATCTTCAGTAGCTATATAATAAAATGACATACAAGAATTTCAAATGTTGCATTTTCAAAACAAATCAAATCAAATCAAACCCTTGTTTATCAAGGATAAAACTATAATATAAATTAACAAATAAACATCAAGAGAGAAAGCCGGCACGAAAAACGGACACCTTAAAACTTTGATGTATTTTAAAGTTTAATATATTTCGTTCTAGTGGACCCATTTTGATGATTTTTTAAGCAATTCGTAGCTAAAGTATTTAACTTTTTAGTATATCTTTCCAAATTAAAAACGAAAGTTCTCATCAGTTCTACGAGGGAAAACAAAATGTTGATATTTTTGTAAAAGTAAAAATTTGAAACACCCTGTAAAATATGTTAACAAAGCAAGGGATTTAAACATTATTGTATCATCTATAGGTATCTTTTCTTGATGGTTTGGTTTTGTGGTTCATCTCAATAGCTTTATTTTTATTGGAGATAT